AGGGTGAATACATCTCATTACACTGAGTTACTGGTAGTCTCGAAACCCTACTTTAATACGAATATAAGACCTGGTCTCCCAACTGACAGCGACTGTCCAGTCGCCTGCTCTGATTGGATATTGATGGACAGGGACCACTTAAGTTGCCGTGTCAACCTCTGTAGCTGACCGAAGTCTGTATATGTGACCGTCACTGTCTGCCTGTTGGTCTGCCTCCCGGCCGGACAGGCCTGGACGATACTTCTAACCTGCCTCCTAAGGAGTCTCGCGAAACGTCGGGGCGTTGCCGACCGCCTCTCTCCCAGTTTCGGTCTGAGGTAGGTTTCTGCAAGAAAGTGGGCCGAGTCTTTATTTCCCTCTTGAGCCTGGGCCAATCTGGAAGAGGCGACAAATCGGTCTTGCGTGTGTACCCAGCCCCCGACAACCCGTCTGGTGGTGCTGACGCTTAGCCTGATCGGCCATGTAGTATCCGACAGAATCGTCTGGTCGGTTGACTTGCATTTTTTCCCCGGTACAGATTCTCTTTAATTCGCTGAAGCAGAGCGAACAGACGCAAAGCGATACGTCGGCCGGACGAGAGAAGGGCAGCTGAGGGCGGTAGACTTGGTGAGGCGAAAGGTGATGATTGTATTGTTCGTCTGAAGCCTTGGATGCCAAAGGTCAGTAGGCCTCGTTCGTGCCGGAGGACGAGTTGATGAAGCTGGAAGACGAGCCCGCCCCCATTGACTTGTCAACACGAGGCCGAGTCTCCGTCGTGGCCGACGAACTGGACGCCGGCTGGAGTTGGCCGGCGGGTGACAAGAGGGCGAACACACTCGCCGGTGCTATCCCAACGCCAACGTTGCAAGTGCCCATTCTTACGCAACTGTTGCAGAAACATGCAGACGCCTGGACCTCTTCAGACAAGCGGGCAGCGACTGTTGACGGCGGCAACGAGACGTCCGGCGGGTCATTTCGGTCGATCTACAACTTTGGTGAGTAGTACATGCGAAAAAAAGTTGGGTTTCTACACGTATGTAGAAAGGGGGAGATGGTGGTCATCAAATATTGATGGCTGAAATCAGACGTTACTTTTGCTGTCCTTATTACTTTGAACCATCACTGCTGCTTTCGTGCATAAGCGAACACAAACAGGCGCATACACATACAAAGACAGACGCACTCATAGGCTTTGAGGTTGACATATGACTGTAACTAACAAAATC